TTAATTAGTTTTTCATCCCAAGATAAAACTAACTATAAAGTTAAGTGTTATAAGAATATCCAGAGTGTCTTTTAATCCAAAGTTCTGTGAAGCTAATGAAGCTCTTGCTGTCATCTGTGATGAGCTGAGCAGGGAGGGTGCCTGACATGACTTGTTATCTTGTGCAGTCCGTTACTTTTGTAAAGCTGAGATTCACAGACAGCAGTTACTCACTTTGGTGAACAGTCTCCACCATTGCCAGTTCCTCAGTTTCAGGTAAGCAGCACAGTTTCTTTGGATAACCTTCATTGCAGTCAGCTGTTGCTGTCTCTTGGCAAAGGCCCTGTGATAAGAAGCACAAAGCAAATTTGTTTAGTCTGAGAATACAGATTGTAAGACAAACATATTAAGCAAAGAAGCCATGGCATGAGACCCTGCTGATTTGAGAAATCTGCACAAGTTCTTTTGTCACTTAAACAGTACCTCTGCTTTCTCAAGAAAAAGTGTTTAGATCTGTTTAGATTTCCAGTATTTTATTTAGTCTTTGGGGTTTCTTTTGGTTTGTTTGTTTCTTTTTGTGCTCAGTAAATATGCATACTTTTTGGTTTGTGCCAATAGTTCTGGATATGAAGTATATGGGCATTGAGAGCACACACTGGTTATCTCTGTTGAAACCTATTATGCTTAAATTTATTTGATCATCAATTTTGAAAGCCTTGGTAGTGTGCAGAAAAAGGCTATTGCTGTTAATAGTTTGGTGATATGTATTAACTGAGAGTGTGCCAAGTGACTCCAGTGCTTCATGCTCTAACTGCGTAAGAAATTATGTTTTGTTTTACAAATGCCAGTGGTACTGCTATTTGTATTGCAACAGTGCAAAAGGTTCCATTTGTAGGCTATAATGCACCTTGTCCTACTAGTAGAAATGTATTTAAATGATGGGTTGTTGCCTAGAATGCTTTCTGTATGGAGAGTTTAAGTAGCCTCACAATGTAATTGCTTCTCTGTAACTATACTAGTAAGCTACTTCTGGGCAAGAAATGAGTTCTTTTAGGTAAACACTGAAACACGAGTTGAATTGCAAAGCAATACTAGCAAAATTAGCTAATAATAAAACGTCTGAATATCTTCAGTTTGTTATACAGAGAACTAAAGCTACTGTAGATAACCCACTGCCAAATATATATTTTTTGTTAGTACATATTCTTACTTTCTGGCCAGGTAGCCTCGGCACTGAGCCTGGAAGGCAATAATGACGTCTGTGATCTTCAGGTCTCTCTCTTCTTCCAGGTGTGCCAGAACACCAGTTCTGAAGAAGATTTTACTCTGTCCAATTCTGTACAAGTTGGGATCAAGTTCCAGTGCTTTGATCTGGAGGGAAACAGGGATATTTGTTAATTCCAGTGCTGAAGTTTAGAGTATTAAAAATTATCATTCTTTTCATTCCCAACAGTTTTTATATAAGAGATGTAGATCTGATTATCAATAGGATCAAAGTTGTTTTCCTTACCATCAGTATGCAAGCCTGCTTCCCATCCATGAATCCTTTAGGAATAGCATTCGCAGCAAGAATTTCATATCTGCCAGAAGACACAAATGTTAGAGAGGTGGAAAAATGTCAGATTATTTTGTACAGGCAAACAGTATACAAGCCCTTTTAAACCCTACGTAAGGACTGAGCAAGGGATTCCTACCGCTGACGGAATTCCTGGAAGACAATCCTGTTGGGGAACCCTTGCCGGCAGATGCGAATACCTTCCAAGACACCATTGCAGCGCAACTGCTCCAGCACTAAATGGGCATCAAGTTTGCCAGCCTGAAAAGGAAACAAAAAGTATCTTTAGCACAGTAGAAATTTGCAAAGATGTTGCTAGCACATATCTACGTTTCAAGACATCTTTCAGTTCTGCAGTGTGCACTAATAGTGTGCCAAGAGTCTGACATTTGATATTTACCCTTTTTTCATGATTTGGAATGATGCAGCGGACAAAGTTGGGATTGGTATTCCTTAAGGTGGTCATCAGTTTAGTCAGCTGCTCCTTATAGAGTTGGCCCACAGTACGGAACATGCCTTTTTTGGTTTTGGAAGAGCTAGGCAGTGAACTTTCAGTCATCTTGGCCATCTGGTCTAGACCAACAATACGATCCACTGCAATATAAAAAAGAACATGTGAGTGGGAATGCTTGTATAAATTGTCTTCACCTCGCATTACACTTTTCACTGCCATTGCTAAAGTGCACCTTCCAGAAGAGGACCAAAATACTTTTGATGCAATTGAAGCATGCTAATGAAAGCATTAGAAGATATTTCTGAGTAAATAGCCTACTTCTGTCTAACTCAAAAATAAGGGTTTTTGTTAACTAGTGGAAGAATGGAACAATTGAATGCACAGCACGTATTTTATGGCTGCTCTACAAGGACAGTCCTGCAAAGTATCCCTACTAGTAGGTTGTGTCACAATGTGTGACAACCATTAAATATGTATCATGTAGTATGCATCTTAAAGATCCATGGAAAATTTTTAAACAAATGCAGTGTTTTCTATACATACAGATATTCTTCTGGTTGAGTTTATTTTAGATAAAACTTTGCTGAAGAGAATTGTAGTAGAATTTTTGGGAGAGGAACATGTAAGTTAAGGACTGCACACAGTCTTTCATAACAGCACTGACAGTGTATTAAGTGAGCTGTCTGATATATTCCATAACATTATAGTAGCATAATGAATATTTTTTATTGTAGTAAGGAAATTATTTTGATAGTACTTAGCTATCTAATATGCTTTTCATAACTATTTAGAAAAGAGTACTCTTGTCTCTTAAATCAATCTCTTCCACTCTTATCATTTTCACGCTTGTTGCCCACTCCTAAGGGAGAGCTGGCAGAACAGTTCTAGTCCAAGTTTCTCCCTTTAAACCACATTAATGGTTTAGAGTTGTGATTCATACCGTCTTTCCAAAGGTCTGCCACAAATTTGTCTGAAGACTGGTTTAGCAGAGAAGTCACATTGTCATTTAGTGGATCCATGTTCTTTGTCAGCCAGGCGCTTGCATTGTAGGTAACCTACAGAAAACAATGCTGGGTCAGAAATCTGTTTTGCCAGAAATATGGCAGAGCCAAGAACACAGGGCACTGTTCTAACATAAAATAATCTAAAAACTAGTAAGATTTGAAAAGCTTTCTATAGTTGAGAGCTGAGTTGAATACTTGTTCTTGCATGTACTTCCATCTAAAGAGATTTTTTTTGCAGACATACACATGACAGACTTGCAGAGGAACCACTATGCCTTTAAAAGTCTGTTTGCTAGAGAGGAATCCAAGTTACTTGGATATTCAAAACCGCAGTGCTGGTTATTTTTGTTTTCATGTGAGCTTAGCACAGCCATGAATGTTGTGTGAATCTTATTTCCCATCTTCTGTAATTGAAGCCCTTAATACATACGTTATATAACTAAAGCCATCCCTATCAATAGGAGAACAAGATTGATTCATTGTTGGTCAAACAGCAAAAAAGAAACAAAGTTCTGTAAGTCAGTGTGGCTCAGTCTCTCTCATACCTTTCCTGCATAGTGCAGTATGCAGAACTCAGTTTTATCCTTGAGTTGTTTGGACTTCTGGAATTTGGGATGGTTGCCTTGTTCTTGAATTAGTTTCTCCACAAAGGAAGTGTCAGTAGCTTTGGGGAACCAGCACTCCTCATCCAGCAGAGCTAGGACACCTGGGGGGTTGGTCTGCAACATGAGCAATACCAAATCAGTATAATGAAAGCCGGAGACAAAGAAAGAACACCACCTTCTTTTTGCTTTGTTACTCATCGTCCCAGGCAACAACAATCTGAAATATCTTAAATGCTTCTCATATTGATACATAATGGACCCTGATGAAACCTACATAGTGTCCCATCTATACAGATACAAACTTACCGGTCTTTCAATTAGCTCAATGCAAGGTTGCAGGTCAAGGCCAAAGTCAATGAAATTCCATTCAATGCCCTCACGTTGATATTCCTCTTGCTCCAATATAAACATTGTGTGGTTGAAAAGCTGCTGAAGTTTCTCATTAGTGTAATTGATGCACAGCTGCTCAAAGGAATTGATCTGTGAAGAGGACAAAAGAATTGTATTTCTGATGTTAGAAAGACACCTAAAAGAGGCAACGTAAATGTCAAGATAAAAATTTCTATATTCTATTTTTTTTAAAGATTACTGTAATTCAAAGGATCCATATTTTTGTATTTTAAGGCAAATTTACAGTAAGATCACATGTAGTAAATCTCAAAACTGGGACCTGTCCAATAAACCATAAAGACCAGACCTTGGTTCTAAACACAGAGTCCCCCAGAAGCCCAGCAGTGATGCTGCCAGTTCCCAGCCCTTCCAAGTAGAATAGTCCTGTGGGTTGTCTTGGCCATGTAGTGCTATGCAGCTTGAGAGAATCAAATTGTTTATGTGGTTCTGAATTTAGATATTTGTTATCTTGCATTCCGAACTACAGCATGACGACAACAAGGAGTTTAACCAATTTGTGTCCCACAGCACATACCTCAAAAATCTCAAATCCAGCAATATCAAGGATCCCCAAGAAAGAAGCTCCTTGTCGTTTAGTTTTATCAAGAGCTTTGTTTACACGAGTTAGAATCCAACGGAAAAGACGTTCAAATTTTGCTTTGGCCAAAGCCTCTATGGCAAAGTCAGCCTGAAAGAAAGAAAATTCTAAGTAAAAGAACAAATCAAATTAACTGCTAATTTAAGTAAGGATAATGCAAAGAGAGAAAGAAAACAGATTCCCTTTAGATGTGATGTAAGAATGAAAAGAAGAAAGGGAAAATAACTCCAGAAGAGCAGAGCAGACTGCAAGTAGGTACCTGCTCTTTGGTCTGAGCTTTCTGAACAACATCTCGTCCTACTTTGATCCTTGGGGTTAGAATAGATCTTGTGAAATCAGTCACATTAATCCCCATCAGGTGACAAACTTTTTGAGCAGCTAGAATAAAAAAGTGATATTATATTTTATATTTCAGATTGAATTTTCTCTTGGTGTGAATACAAGCAAATCAACAATTATGTAATGTAGTTTATCTTCCTTAAAAGCTCCTCTGTTGTACATGCAAGAGATGCCACTTGCTGTAAAAGTATTATTCGTGATACAACCAAGGAATTCACTGATGATCAATTTACGGATTCAAGATTACCAAAAAAGGTAATGAATATTGAACTGATTCTAAGTATGGCGTATCTTTTAAGACCTGTGAAGCATATACACATTAACAGTTTAAAATCTTGATAAAGAGTGCTTCCTCAGCTGCTATTTTATTACTTTCTTAATGTGAACTGACTTTTTAAAGGGACAAATCATACCAGTATTGTCAGGCATAGAAGCTTGATCAGTGTTTCTCTCCTTCTTGAAGACAATATTGCCCAGCTGTAGGACAGACGAAACAACCCTCAATATAGCTGTAAGATAAGCAGACAGTATAAGTGAGGAATGGAATGGACACATTTTGAAAACTTCATTCTCTACAATAATGAAAGTTCATTGTGTGGCCTTTGGTAGTCTATACTTCCATGGAAAGATCTAGATTTGCTATAAAAGACAGCTATAAGCTGCAATAGTTTGAGAGCTTGCAGAAGTGCAGCTCAAATAATCAGTGCAATTGAATAAATGGACCACTAAGGGAATGCCAGCATCTGCAAAACGTGCTGCATCCCCAGGTAGACCTCTAAATCTTGGGAATTCATCTCTCAGTCAGAGTGGCCTATGCTTGGTCATTTGAGAATCTCTATCTCTGCTTTTAAAATCAAACATGTCAATGAGTTTCCAACAGCCTTAAGAACAAGTGGCAATTCCAAAGCTCTGGCTGTGCAGTATGTGGCTGTTCATTCATGCAAATGAATAGTGTACAAATATTCACAGGATTAGTGTGAGTACAAAGCAGTAATTTATTAACACTTAACTCTTAAAACGTAGAGAAATTTCATGCCTTTTAACCTCAGGTAGTAAAATCTGCTGGTGTTACAGATGAGATCATATTAATCTAGAGAGGTCATTTTGTTCATTTGGTAGACTCATACAGGAGAGCAATACTGTCCCAATGGGCTTGTATTTTAAATCATGAAATGAAAGGGGTTCAGACAGCAATACAAGTCATTTTGATGTCATGGATAGTGCTGCTATCAACACCAAAGCATGTGTTCTGGCTGTAGAACGAAGCAGTTTTTGTCAGTACCATAATCTAACTTTACCAAGACAGATTTGTACTACTGTCCTGCAAGGCAAAGCATTTTTTTTCTTAGAACCCTCGGGCACTGATGCAGATGGGACAGGTAACAGAAATCAGTTCTGGCTGACAAAGCCGCTCGAAGGCTGGAGTGATGGCGTGACACAGTTTCTGCCACCAGGTGTCACTTGAGGCATGGCGGCTGCAGCCATGCCGATGTACGCTGGTGAGCACCAGACAAAACCCTACACTCTCCCCGGAACTGTGAGGGGTAAATGGTGGTTAGTTTGATGCCTGTGGCAGGCCCACATTTTCAAGGTAGCTTAGTTGTTTGTTCATGTTTATTTTCTTTTTCTCCGAAACAGTGGACAAAAGTATGAGTTATTTCAGAGAATCACAGAATTTGAGCCCGATCCACTCATTTAAAAATTATGTGAAGTAAGATTCTACATTCATATGTTTATTTTGAGAAGTGGTCATTCTGGACAGAATGAACTGCAGTGCATTTGGATCTGTCTATATTATTACTTGCAGAGTACGATCTTGCTAACAGTTCTCACCTGTCTGCTCCTCCTCAGTAAAGCCCATAATTTTCATGGCTTCCAAGGTCTCCAGGAACATCTCATCATCTTGTTGAGCAGGAATAGGAACGTGACCATTAGATAGAAAAGTATAGTTGTTGAAGCCTTCCAGCAGCAGATCATCTAAAAGACAAAGAAGAAAAGTGTAAGTGTGTCAGCTTAATGACATAAATATTACATTTACTTCTGTATGTAACCTAGTCAAAATTCTCTCTCTCTTCTTGCCCCACTAGACCTGCACATTCATACTGAATAATAATAAGAATGGAACCAGGTAACAACAAAAGGGGTCCAAACCAAAAAACTCTTAAGTTCCATACAATGGCCAGCAACAGATTCTTAGCATAAATATTAGGGAAAATGTAAAGTTATCTATTGCTTTATACATTCTTTCAGTCAGTCATGTATGGAAAAATGTTGTATTGAAGCCATGATGTTCCAATTGATGTTGTATTGAATTCCTATTTTTCTCATCCACTTAGACTTTTCACCACGACGTTATGAAACTATGAGTTTCACAGTGTAAACATGAGCTATGAGAAAGATATTCTCTTGATTGTGAAACTGCTAGCCAATACTTATATTTGGAACCCCCGTTTTTGTGTGTGTGTGTAAAAAATAATACACAACTCCTCTTTGTTCATCTTGATATCATTCAAGATCAATGAGTTTATATCTGCTGTCAATTGAAAAATAACAATAAACTGTAAACCACCTGGCTTAAACAGACAACAAGTTTAAACTTTTTTACAGTTCACTTAAGAGAATTACTTTCTATGGCTAAAGAGCTGTTTATTTATCAAAAGAATTGAATAACATTCTCTTTAAGATATTAAGATAAATCACATAGGTAAGCTATTCTTCATGCTGTTTAATGAGATCATTAGCAAGTGACTTACTTCTCATTTGTTCAGAAGCTCCAGCAATCAAATAGTAAAAGATATGAAATGTTCGCTCATCTTTGGCCTGACGAATAGCACGGGATTTTTCAAGCAAATCTGTTTGTCAAGTATGTTAAAACAAACAAACAAACAAACATATTCTGGTCCTTCCATAATTGTGCCTTCAGTCTCAGAGCCACTAATAGCATTGCTTAAATTTTTTGCCATGAGCTTATCTAACATAAATTTGGTTCTAATTTTGTGTTGAGATCACTAGTACTGGTTTAATTATCACCATGAGGAGTAGATGAATTCCCTACCTCTTACTGTATGATAAAAGCTGGTAATCATGATAGTAAGCTCTGTGATAGTCATACATGCTTCTAAGGTTAAACATATAACAGTGGTATTCATAACAACATTTACTTCACTTTCACAATTTCACAAATACGATTCTTTTATCATAGGGTGGGGCTCCTAAAAACTTTTTTGAGGCCAATATTGTAGCTATAGAAGCAATAAAAGCAGACTTTATTTATTGTCTACTTTTCTGACTAAAACACTAAAAATGTAGCTGGCAGCAGCGTTAAGTATTTTGACATCAGTAGCTGATTTACACTTTAAATGATATAATGCTATAGATAAAAATTCAGATAAGATCTGAAAAAATAAAGCCCATTTTTTCTGTATGGGTCACTTCTCAAAATAAGTGCAGAAAGCTAAACTGTTTGTTGTTTGATGTTACATTCAACAGATAAGATCCTTCTTTTAGCTGTATGTTAATTTCTCCTCATTTATTGGAGCAAGCAGCTCCTCTTTGCAAAGATGAGCAATGCAGCACTGAGGAATTTAGCTACATGCCCATTTATACACTATCTCATAAACATAACCCTGGGAAGAGGCATCAGTACTTGCCAAGTAAAGTCAATCTAAGTTTAATTTCTCTGAAATACTTGTACTTTATTCCTGGAAAAAACCCACATCAGAGCCAATGATATATAGCTCTAGGTATGTCACTTGAATGACCAGGTCTGTATTTAGTTCCCAGAGCAGACAAGTTCTCTGAAAATATCTACTGCTTGATGCCATATGGAACATCAGCAACAGCAAAATATTTGCTTCACTTCAGTTATGCAAGTTCCCAGATTAGTAATTTCTGACCATGGTGATTTAACAAAACATGCAAAGATCAAGGCAGGTTCAGGTAAACTGTCCTTCAGTTACACAAAAGGAGAAGAACTACAGAGCATCCAAAGACAGCTCTTCTGGCTGCACCATGTTATTTAGCTTTTCCTGTCTCTTTTATTTTTCCTGCTATCAAGTTCTTAGAGGGGTAGGGACAAGTATATCACTTTTATTGAGATGACCATTTATGCTGCAGACATAAACTACTAAGCTGTATTATCGTATGGAGTTCTCCCTCAGCAGGTTATTCTCCGCACTTTTTATTGGAATCCATCTATCCTTGTGCAGCATACATAATTTTTGCAGGAATACCAAACCTGGGCATGAGAAATGGGAAACATCCTCTGAGCTCCTGGATAAACTGTAGGGATAATGCCACATTCTCAGTCTTTTTTTTTTCTTCCCCCTCCTCCCAAATATTCTATAACACCTCTGATGAGAAACAGGAAAGTTTCAAATCTTTTTATATTTGGAAATGTAGATGACAGGGAACTGGATTGACCCATGCAGGATTGTACCTGTGATGTGAAACGAAACAACTGCATAGCTTTCAAGATCACATGCAACCTCAACCACAAATCAATCTCCTCCACTTTCTGAAGCTATATGTGGAGAATAGCACACTTTCCTATAGATGAAAAAGGAGATCTGAAAATGTAAGCACAAGAGTAAGACAAACTGAGAATCTGGTACCAGCATAAATGGAGCCACTTCCCTCCATCTTTGTTTATACCAGCCTCAGCAATATTTGCCTTTCTTAGACATGCAGTGCAGCTTGTTTATCTTTCTTCCTTCTGCTAACCCTAGTTAGCTTCCAGTGCTGTTCACAGAAAAGGATACAAGTCTCTATGTTTGCTCCGACAATGTAGCCTGTCACATCAAAGTTGATGCGGATAAATTTGCCCTGTGAAGGAAAAGAAGACCTAGGTTGGTCTGTTCTTTTAGGTTATGTGGGGTTTTACAACATTAGCATGTATGCTGTTCAGTGAGACATGTACATCATCATCTTAAGAGTATCATGCTCGATTCCCTCCTGCGAGGACAACCAGGCTGAAATGAACTCTGACAACGGTCAATGTGGGAGTAATATTAGATCTGAGGGATACCTCTGCAGAGAGTCAGCAGAGGTAGGAGTGAAGGGCCTGCAGGGAAAAAGAACATCTGCCAGCACTCCCAACAAAAAGTAACATCAAGTAGTTACAGCTCCCATCTACTGTTACTCTAATGTGAATCCATGTGAGATGCTTTTTCTCTTGTAGTCTTTCATTTAAGTCATTAACAACTCTTCCTAAATGACAGGAATGCCTTCCAACAAGATGCATGCTCAACAGTGGTGCAAAGAAAAAGGAAGTACAGATTTTCTTTTCAAATTTCTAGAGGATGATGATATGTCTTGGAGCAGTAGTTGACTTTGCAAGGCCACACACAGACGGATAAACTGTGACAGAACAATGGTACTGTCAAGTCTGAGATTGATTTTTAGTTCTGTTAAAGGCCAAATTCCTATTTCAGAGAGAAGTTCTAAACAGTAATTCAAAGGGATTGGTTTAGAGAAGCTTTTTAGAGAGAAGTACTGAAAGAAAGAGGGTGATTCTTTGTACACTGATTTAAAGAATGGTGTACCTCCCCGCAATGTAGACCCAAATGTATTTCTCCTACTTACAAATCTGGAGGAGTTGTCATTCTTCACAGTTTTGGCATTTCCAAAAGCTTCAAGAATAGGATTTGCCTGTAGAAGCTGTTTTTCCAGCTCACCCTAAAATTCATTCAGACTCAGTTAACCCTGAACTTCATAATTAGTTATTTAAAAACAGTTCATGTACGCTGGAGAAAAATGTGGAGAAAGATAATTTAAGCCTCTAACTTTTTTGTTGAAGACTGCACTGCTTGTGGATTTGTTTTCATTCCCTGTTAATCTCTGTTTATATATTTGTGCAGTCAAGTGCTGTCCTGTATACATGACCCTTTTCCAGCCCAGTTGCCTGTGGCAGATCAAAGTCTATTAATCTGTTTAGCATCATGACTGGTCTTTCTTAGTAAGAGGGTCATTCAGTGACAAATCATATATATATATATATATATATTCAGTTTAATGTCATTTTTAAAAAGATTTTCTTAAAGGAACCTCTAGCATATCTTTTTCAAGTTAGTTTATCGAGATCCTTTGCTAGCAAATGACGATGTAATTAGAATAACTTGCCGGGAATCATTTTAATGTAATGCAGCACAAAGCTACAAAGCAGATTTCACCAAGTCTATTAATAATGATCCATGCAAGGCTATTTAAGTTAAAAAATGGAAGTGCACTGATTTATTTCAAACTAAGATAATGAATTCTCATGCAAACACACAAACCTTTTATTATGTTGTTAATTGTGCTTGGTAATTGCTAGTGGAAACACATCATGCAATGAAATGAGCATGCATTTAATACTCCTATTTATAAACAAACTAGTGAAGCTGAAAAAGTCTTTGCTTACTAAGATGGTTTGACAGTTTTTTTTTAACTTTTCATTTAGCTCTGTGCTATAAAATTACTTTCACATTTGCTTCTTCTCACCATACTTGTGGACTACTTTACAGTAGCATGCCCCATTTTAAATAACTCATGCTGAATAACACCAGAAAAAAGTCCTTGATGGATAATATGATACCATTTAAATCATTCTAATATAAAAATGAGTCAATATTTAAGTTGAATCCAGAGGCAACGATTTGGAAAATGACATTTCTTCCCAATTAGGATGCAAAACTGGTAACCTTCTGAATAACTTTCTGAATTTCTTGTGATTTATATGGGAATGATGAGAGTTACCTCAAAAATATAATAAAAAAACAAGAGTTTCTTAACAAATGACTAAACTTATCTACAAATGACAGAACGAGGACCTTCCCAAGAGTACAGATGTTTGGAGAGCTAGGGCATGAAGAAAGTCCACTGAACTCCATGGAGTTCTTTGGGTCAGCAATGAATTTAGTTTTGTCAGAGAGCTTGTCAAATGAATAATAAATAAATTAAGGGGCAACACTTTGTCATAGCTGGTCTGAGAACCAGCAATCAGAATGGCGGAAAAAGGATAATACAAAAAATTGCCTGGCACACAAATGAACAGTATATGCCAGCAAACCTGCCTATATTCCCAAAGTACTGATATGCTGGATGGCACACCACAGTGCAGGAGGGCCCACGAGGGCCTGTTACAAACTGCCATAACATACCTGCAGACACACGCTGCAGTGGGAACTGCTCTGTTACACATTACAGCAGCAAGCTAGGAGCATGCTAACCTTTGCGGATGTGAACAGTCCTCAACAGTTACATGAAAATGTAAAATTGAAAGCAATATCAAATGGAAAGCATGCAGCCAAACAAATCAATCAACACCGTGAGTTTTTAGGAATTATTTCACAACAGTCCTAGAAAGTTCAACCTGAAGTACGGAAAACATTTAGATATTTTCATTCAGAAATCGCATTGCTCAATTTCAGGCTGAGTGACTCTTTCAGGATCGTGGGAAATTTCATTCAAACTATGGCAATTTAAACACACACATATAGAAGAGAGTGATATTTGAGAGATGACCCTGCCTGTGTCAGACCTCATTCTTCATCATGGAGCCTGACACAGTTAGGGTTGATTTGTGAGAGCATTTGGCGCTATTGTTGCTTTTCATCATATCATACAACATATTTCAACAAAATCTCTTCAATTTTTGAGGTGCAACAATAGCATGCAGATCTACACTCAGTGCCTTAAACACACATCAAACAGTCTAAGTTACTCACGTAAGAAAAAGATGGACCTTGCTGTATTGAATAATGTGGTATAAAACAAGTGTCAGTATCATTTCCATTACACAGACATTTTTATCGTTTTTCCTGTATTAAAATAACCAATACACAGTTTCCATGCAAATAAACCAGAAAAACAAAGAAAAACAATCTATTGCAGACATACCAAGAGTACAAATACAAGTAGTGTATTGGAGTATTTTAACTGAATTAAAAAAAAGAAAAAAAAGACCTGAAGTAAGGGGATGAGATTTGGATTCAGTCCCAGGTCAGTCTCCCAGGACCAGGCAGGGACAGATATTTTTATGGTAAATCCCCAGCTCTTCTCTGGTGCAGTGGAGGCATTTTGCTATTGATTATTTTTTTAATGACTGAAATTGCAGTGTCAGTAGCCCTAGGCACTGAATTACCACTTGTCAACACATTATAGAACAATTTAGACTTTCTCTCAACCTTCATCTGGTGGATATTTGCCTTCACGCCTGTCTTGGAGCCAGTTTAATCCTGAGACTCATGTAATTCCCTGGAGGAGCGAGCTGCAACTACAGTTACATACTCAGTGGAATGGCCCTGAAACCACAAGTTCATTTCCCCCAGCCACTGAGAAGGACTCAGTTGGATGACATAAGCTTTTTTTTTTCATAAACATTCAACAAAGAAAAACTATGCCTTTGATATTGGGCTGTTTCCAACAACTTGAATCACAGATTTCTAGAAAGTACTGCCCCGGGGGGACATCTACTTCTTCCCCTTCCCTGAAGCACAACAGTTATTCACGGTGGAAGAGGCAAGGCAGTGCTTTGGAGTTTTGTATATATAGGCATATAGCACAGACAAGACTCAGCACAAGTGTGGTTGTGAGGTTTTTACTTTGTTTTGCACTATGCTGCTAATTCCTTATTTTTCACTCAGACTTGCACTTGGGACACACTGACATCTCTTCCTTAATTAAGCTTTTTTTGTCATAAAAGTAAATTGCTACTTTATTTTATTTATTTATTTATTTATTTATTTATTTCCAGGAGTATTTGAGTAGCATAAAAAGGGCTGGAAATGACTTAGAACCTGGAGTTACATCAATGAAAACAGCAGACAGGTGAGAGCTTCAGCCACACCAATATCTCAGAGAACTGTGTCGACATAAGCTAATATTACAGTTCAGAGCAAAATGATGAACTTTAATCACTAAGGTAAGGTTATTACAAATTTTGAAGATAGTACTTTATTTAAAATCTGCCTTCCAACATTTTCCTGTGTCAAAGGAGCAAAAAGAAGTAATAGGATATATTTTGGAACTCTTAGCTACCTTGCAAGAAAATATGCCCGCTAACAAAAGTGATCAATACTTTAGGAGTTTAAAAGTTGTTATACATTTTTTGTGTTTGTGTTGTAATATAAGGATAATATTTTAATTAAAAGCTTTTCCAAACTTCTTATTTTCCAGGGGCCAAGGGTAGAATAAGGACCCCAGCCCTTGCAGAACTTAAGTCTTTCATGTTATGATATAAATAGGTGCTATGCATATAGAAAGCTATGAATATTTCTCTTCTAACAAAGAACATTCTGATTTGATGCCTAAGAGGATGTCAAACAAAAGATTTTTTTTTTCCATAAACACAGAGCTGTGACCTAATTGTGTACTCTTAATATGTCAACTATTTGGCAAGCCACAAACGTTGAATTGCTGTTAGCAATAAGCTCAATACAGTCCCAATAGTCAAAAAGGAGAGCTGAATACAGAAGAGCTCACTCACAGTGATGCTGGTGTCCTTTTTGCCCTTATGTGATGAAGCAACAACAGCCAGGTACTGAATGACCTTTTTGGTGTTCTCTGTCTTGCCAGCGCCAGATTCACCTCTGAGGGGAAAGAAAATAACACAAAAAAAGCTAGGTAACTGGTGAGCTCCTTCTGCCATACGACGTACGTCATGTATAAAAACAAGACTGGAGTCTGCCTGGCTCTGTAAATATCCCAGAACACAGTCTCTCTGATTCCACCTGACTTTAGCATGCAAAGAACGCAGTATCAGAGATGTATCTCTGTCCCATTCGTGTTTTGACTGGACACTGGGCCATTTAAGGCAATTGTAAAACATTTTTATGGCAGTGCCTGAACATTCATGAGAACTGAGGCTGGCAGGGAGTCTGCTCATACTTAAAGAACAACAACAACAAAAAACATTAACTATAATGTGGTACAAGAATAAGAAAAGCTATCAACAAAAATACAGTAGTTTTCTCTATGGAAATTCTGGCATTAAAGCAAGTTACATCAATGCTGGAGTATAAGGGAACTATACTGCCTTATATGACCTCTAAGTTCAAACTTTCCATGAATTCAATGGGACCAGAGCTGGCACTGCTGGAGGCATCCCTGCTAACAGGGTAGCAGGAACATCTCATATGGGGACATTTCTGACCAGCAGAACTGCCATCCTGGCTGTGCTCTGTCTCTTGGGAAGCAGGAATGCAGTGGTAACTTTCCACCTTCCAGAGGACTTCCATGGTTAAATTTATTTACATCTTCCAAATCTTCTCATAAAGTAAAATGCTAGTTTTCAAAGTACAGGAACAAGGACTCAGATTTACAGTCTTTACTCAGAAGTAAGAACATTTCCAGCCTACTCTTCCCTCTTTGTCACATTTTATCATCTCAGTTCTGCTAGATACCTTTGACTCTGATGATGATACGGACTAGAATGTTTTTATATTGTCCTGTATCAGCAGTCAAAAAAGGCATGAAAGTGGGTGTGGATGTAGTAATGTAGTAATTTAGCTCTTCTGACTCTGTCAAGCTAGTGCTGTGAGGACAGCAGTCTACATGGAAGTCAAACCTCTGTGCCTTTGGATTTAAATTAAAATGAATTTAAAAATTAAAAGAACAATATATGTAAAAGTCCCACAGATATTTGTCAGCTCTTTTCAAACTGAGTCTGTTTAGCTGGATCCACTGCAGTTGTGCTTCTTTTCCTAATTAGGAAATAGAGGAGTTAATTTTTCCTACCAAGGGACTGGTGAAAAACGGACATAAAAAAAATATGAGTAAATGCTGGGAAGAACTTTTAAATTGTGATGACATTGATTAAACCTTAGGAAGTCAGAAACAATTTCTGTCTGATGCACATCATGATGAGGAACGTTTAGAGTTTTAACCAGAAATAATTGAGACGGTTCCTTTTCACAAGACCTGGGTTAATTTGCACAGTTTAGAGTTTGGATTCATCCCTGCCCTGGACTTCAGTGCTAAAACATTTCCATGTTTTATTGATAAAAATTAAGTGTTCTGGGAACAATTCCAAACCAAGCACACCAATTTGAAGACATATGCGTACAAAGTTTTCAAATAAATCTACCTTGCATCTCTGATACTTTGGAAAAAAATAAAAGCATTCTTCAAACAAACTGTAGGCTTTGAGCTATTCTATTTTATTAAAGGTTATTTGTAGTTCATCACTACATGAATTGCATTTCCTTTCTCCCAGGGCAATGGTGCCCATCATTTGGCTTTTCCCTGAATGCCTGTGAGTATTACCATATAAGGCATCATTTTCCTTGTAATTATCCTACCATACTGTAATGCTTTAGTTACTTAACATTTTGTTCTGTGCTTGCTTTCCTTAACTCTTTGCTCCTGCACAGTTTTCTATTTTCTGCAGCTATTCTTCTTGAGCTTTTAAATTCCTTTTGAAGTGGACAACAACAAATTCTTCAACATGAAATGGAACTGTTTCAGCATGAAATGGAAAACAGACATGATCTCACAGCAATAAGGATGAAAAAAAAATAAGTAATGAAGTATCGTGTTCACTCCTAAATGTCCCTAACAATACACAAGTCTGATAAACAAGTACTCATTAAACAACATTACGCTGAAGGATCCAGCAGAGCTGTATGACAAGGTCTAGACTTCATCTCAGTGATAGAATCCAATGTGTTTGAAGAGTAATTAATTAAGAGGAATAGCTGAATTAGGTTCAGTGCCTTTAAACATAAAGAAGCTTACAAGGGGAAATATCTAGGAGGAGGAGAGCATGTGACTCAGTTGATTTCATAGGTGAATTAAACTTTTCCCAGAACTATTGAGCTGCAGCAGAACTGGTCACGCTGCTTTTTTTTCTCAGCATCTTTCTTGAAGTACCATCGTTTCTAGGCTGGCAGAAACAAGTTTTATTGTGAGGTGGTATGAAGAATCCCATCTGTTTTAAATCTGCATGCTCTCTTTAGTCTCAATGACTCAACTGTTAAATAAGGGCCTGATTCTTGCAAGCATCATGATTACAGCATGGACCATACACACAGTGGGGTTCCTCTCAGGAGGCATCTTCTGGTTGTTTACGTTCCTCAATCTGCAGCCCGAATCATGTTCCAAGTGAGGAGTGCACTGTACAAAGTCTATTACCTCTATCCTAAGTTTTTTGGGGAGCAGAGAGATCATCTGTTTAACTGAAGTATCTCAAATCATTCTTATTGCTGCCATTCTTAGAAGCAGCGCATTTATTGCCAGTGCACTTCTTTTCACCCAGCTCAGGTGGGCAATGCAAAAACAAAGAGAGGAAAAGCAGTAACTGTTGCACAGCTGTGATAGTCCAACAGTAGTACTTAGTACATATTTTCATCCTGAGAATCTGCCTTGTTTTCCCAGAGTGAAAAGATAGACTAGGCTTATAGGCTTGCTACACTAAAAAAAAGCATGAAACAATGCTCTCTCATTGTGTGACATATTTTACATTTATTCCTCCTTCATTTCTTGCCCAGATTTTTGTTTTGTTTAGTAACTCAGTAACTGATTTAAAGCACAAAAGCCCACTTACATAGTGCTATTGAATCCTCCACAACTCCATTGCTTTCACCTTAAATGAAAATTATCTCAGTTTGAATAGGTTTCCAAATTAGCACAAGGTGAGAGTGGGAAGCTGACTGCATTGGTGTGGGGTAAACCTGGGGTGTAGCTGGGGTGTAACTAAGACTGCTGCATGTTTGGGGAAAGAGTAGTTAAAAAACTGGACTTTTTGTTGAAAACTTGAAAGCTTTCTATATTAATATTATGATATAAGACTTAGCTTAATTCCACTTTTGGAAACATCTAAAAAGTAACAGCAGGATTTGTTTCAGCAAGCAATGAACCACAAAAATTGACCATTCACACATCCCTTAATCTGGCTACTCTGGCACTGCGGGAAGCCTCTGTGAACACAGCAGTCAATGAGGTGCTCCAAATCACATTAGAGCTTGGCAGGCTTCATCCTGCAGTATGAGATGTGCAAAGATAATGAAAATCTTTGTCCTAGACCAGCTGAATCCCCAAAGACCTCGCTCAGAAGCCAGCCCGCTGATCCCACTAAGTTTATTTACAAAAAAATCTCAAAAGACTGAGCTGGTTCGGCACCAAGCTCCACCCCAGGTCTAAAGCTGCACAAGATAACCACGCGGGAGAGAGGCCAGACAGCATTGCTTGCCAGCTCCAGCCTTTGAGATTTAGTGTGCTGGGAAAGAGAAGAGTTTAGCTCTCTTGCAGAGGAGGCTTTGCCTAACAAGACTTCGCAGTTCAGAAGATGTCTTGGGTGACTGCTTCCTGACATTATCAGGAGAGAAAGCAGGTGGAGGTAATGAAGCCAAGTGAGGCTCTGGAGAGTTCGCCCCAAAAGGGAGGGTAAAGGATGGTCACTGCCTAACCCAAAATTTTGTCTGTTGCTGTACCAAATGAAGTGCAAACACTACCCTGCTCTGTACATTTTGATAGAAGCTAATCAATCTAAATGCATGCATTAAAGAAAAAGTAGATGAGCTCTTGGCAGCATCCCCAACTATTTCTATATGAATCCTTACAGCTACATTTTTCACAATTTAGGTGCCAAGCCTTGGAAAGTTTGAGTCTATACATATTGAAAGAAAAGATCCCAGGTGATCAATGCCATGAGTTCTTCAGTTCTTGGTCTATATTTTAGGCAAAAAGATAATCTCGTGGAATTGTTAGTAATTATAAAATACTGTGAACTGATTGTACTTGAAGCTGCCCAGCTGAAAGCTAAGTGAACTTTCTTGTTTCTGTACAGAGAAATAAGGCCAAAATATAGGATAAACTACTAGTAACTAAAGCTGTGTATATTGATTTTTGCTTAAATAATCTTGATTTAAAAAAACAGTGAGAGGAATTTTTCAAGCTATGGGTCATGATGCCAATCCAACATGCAGCAGCTATTCTAAACAAGATTGTTTTCCAGATGGGAAAGACATTTCATTCTCTTTATTTTATGTTTCAGTGGTGTGAAATGCTTTATGTTTTCAGCTCCTAGGTGAAGGGAAAAAAAAGTATTCATATTCAATATATTTTGTAGCCATCAGAAGTGGAAAAAAAAAAGAAACTGAAATGGAAAAAGAAATGAAAGAAGAGGAAAAAAGAGATTTTTTATAAGCAAAAAGGAATTGAATTGCAAAAGAAATTTCCTGAAAATAAAATAAATCTTAATATTCCAACATTAAAAGATCTGAAGTGTTACTGATACAATAATAAAGTAAGGTGCAGAAATAGAAGGACAAAATGCACAGTTTAAATTAGACTCCATTACCATGACGTGTTTCATCCTGGGAAGAAAGTGATGGTCAATTTTTATTCCAACACTGCATTGATTTTAGATTTGTTTTGGTTTTCATACATATGTGGGCAGATTCGTGACTGATACACTTGCATGTAAGTGAATCTGTTTATGAAAGGTCAGAGCTATGCTAGTCTTTGTGGTACAGAATATACTCTCTACTTCTTGCATGATGAATTTGTTCCAGCCAGCACTGGCACTCACCAGTACCTGTATGGCTGGTGGTCAGGAGCACTGTTTTCTAAAAAAAAATAGGCAGTAGCCACATTTTTATGGATAACCTCCCCAAACCACTTCAGTTTGGAACTATGACGTGTATTTGCAATCTGTGACTGACTACAGCATTACTGTATAATCCTGCTATCAATACTATGCATGCCATCTTCTGCAAACAATTATTTGTTTTTACATGAATTGAATGTTATCTTTTTTCAGGAAAACTGGAAGATGTGTAATGCAACAAACATCAAATTATGTCAAAAGTGTCTTCAATAGCACTCAAGTAAATAAAACCAACTGATAAGCCATAGAGGAATGTGGTTGTCGTTAAAGCTGAAGGTTACATAGAAGATCCCCATCCAATTGAACAGTCTGAGTGTTTTGCAAAAATTGGTAGGAATGATAAACCAAGGGGATGCTGGGGAGCAGTATGTCACACGCAGCAAAGTTTATTGCAATAAAATCACCATCTGACCCCTGCTACACTAATTGCCCCCACAACATCTGGCACTGATGGCAGGTCAGAACTCAAAGAAGAAAACGTCAGCAAGCCAGGACTCAGAACAGTCAAGGCTTTCAGAACAGGGCTGGCTTAGTTGGTGTTTTGCTATTGCCTATAGCAATTACTTAAAGACTGCAGAAAGCTTCCCATAGTGCAGTGTGCACTTAGCCAACGCTCCATGGCTTTGCACACAGGCTTCCAGGTGGGCTGTGCCACATGGAATTGCCAAGCCTTGGCTGCTGCAGCTACACAATATGCAAACAGCCCAAAATCACATGAACAGAAAAGATCAATTTCTTAAAATGACAACGGATTGAGGATATGACAGCAGGCTGCTGACAGGCAGGAATGAAAAGCAGTTCAGTTAATACCCAGAATTCCTCCATGTTCCTCAGTTTTCTCAGTTTCCTTAAGGGACCTCTTAATCTACAACTACAGTCCCCGACTTCTTGTAGTAAACTCTGAATTCAAAGTCAGTTTAAACTGAGAACTGTGCATTGAACACATATTAGGGCACTGATATTGCTTCTTATTTTGTCAACAGGCAACTCTTCTACTGGGACTGCAGATCAAGCTCTTTGAAGGTGGGAATATATCAGTTCCACCAGGATTTGAATTGATTCTGCGTAAGGAATGACACTGTAATATTGAGATGTAACAAAACAACAGATTACTTACGTGCACAGGATAGATTGGTCTTCTCGGTCTGTGAATAAAGAAAAAAATCCATTAATTAGGGAAAATAGCTAAGTCCTGTCAGAAGTACTTATATTTATAATGACTTACATTGAGCAATCTAGACCTTTCAAAACCTGACAATTCACAATTAGTCAAAAGTACAGGGTTCACATCTTATTTAATTTGCCATCATATTTAAATAAGGATCTCTAATGGAAATATTTTGTACCAAAAAATGAACAAAAGGTTAGGAGTTCAAAAATATTTTTTTGTAAATTCTGTGAGAGATGAACTATAATGAGGACAGCAAAAGGATCAGACTCCCTATAAGAAGATTATAATTGATAATTTCAAGTCTGAAACTTGAGTCGTTATTATGCTTATGAAATATGGCTAGCAGCCCACTTCAGACAAAGTCTGGACAGATAAGACATCAAAAACTAAGACATTTTATGGTGGTCATTAGATTCTGAAAGCACAGCAGTCCAAATAGAATCACAGAATCATAGAATGGCCTGGGTTGAAAAGAACCACAATAATCATCTAGTTTCAACCCCCCTGCTGTGTGCAGGGTCACCAACCACCAGACCAGGCTGCCCAGAGCCACATCCACCTTGAATGTTCTTTTCTCTCTATTTCATTTCAGATTTAGAAATGCCTTTTTTTCAAAACATATCCTTCTGTCTGTGAGGTATCCTCAAGATTGAGGAAAAACAAGATACATTTTTTTACAACAGCATATCAACAAGAATGTAAGTATTCTTCATGCTTTACCATGAACAGAATTGTCAAACATATATTGGATGAAAATTTATAAAAAGGTGGGCCAAAATCTCTATTTCTACTGTGTAAGGCATGTAAGAGGTTTCTGTGCTGCTGTTCAATACACCGTAATGTTTCAGCATGGTTTAGAAGCACATCTTGTCACGTATCTCCCTTTTTAATGTATTTGGAGTTGGAGTTTCTCTTTACCTTCAGAACTTTTGCACAGAATTTTCTACCAAAAGGCTGATCTCAGGATTTTAGGCTGTGATAGTGAACACACACTGAGGTTTCATAATGTGCTCCATAACACTAACGTATTTCCCAAAGCTCCACTGAAAGAAGACTTCCAGAAAAGTTTGTGACACTGACAGGCTTTACAATTTGGCTTCTATGGCAAGATGTGTGTTTAGCATGTTTGCTGTGATCAGTTCTGATGTAGAACCCTTTTTTAAAATTGGACATGTTCAGCACCAGAGGAAGTCATATAGAAAGGTGTGGTGTCTCCATCCTTGGACATATTTGCAAGTAGACTTGATTAAGGCTATGAGCAACTTCCATGGCATTGAAACTGGCCCTTCTTTGCAAGAGGCTGCATCAAACTGCCTTCTACAGACTGTAGAAAAATCTTCTGAATAAGAAAACAAATTCCCAAGTTGGTCAAATGCATATTTGAATTGTGTGCTTGGCTTATAAACCCGAGACTTGAAGCAGACAGTTAAATAAGGCAGAAGCAAACGTGTCTGTATATTTATGTATTATCCACCAGATGCAGAGTGAGCATTAGACCAGGGAAGCCTCTGGGCAGAAGTTAAGACACAAACCCGTTCCTCATTTTATTTTGTGAGTTGGATGACTTGCAGGGCTACCTATCTGGTTGCTCACCCTTATCGCTGACCTTGCATGTAATAAATGGCATGAGATAAACAAGCTTTCTGTACTGCACAAAGATAATAGAGATAAATTCAGCCTATTAAGCTTACAAGTTGTAATTGCTGCCTGGACCACAGCCAGCCTAGGAAAAGCAGAAGTGGATTCTGCTTTGGCTTAATGATACTAAATAACTGTATTTACTCCCAGTTTCTCATTAACGTTCAAACCGGTGTTGTAACACCAATTGCTTCATTGATCCCTTGCTCAGAAAATGGCACCACTTAACTGCTTTGGTTGGTAAATTGGTACAAAATGAATCATTACACTGCTGTTGGAGGATTTGTCAACACTGCAGACTCTTCCACATACACATTTTGGATGAGGGGAGCTGTGCGCAGTGTTTATTTTTCACTGAACTTGGCTTTCTTTAAAATTAAAAAAATGAGAACGCAGTAGAATTTTTGCTAAAAATACACTGCTGTGTAAATAGAAACCATTGGCATATATTGACGTTACATCACAAACCCATAAATATCATAAAGAAAATAAAAGTGACTCCTTGATACAGAGTTGCCAGTGGAAATTCTGAGCTCAGGGGACATTAGAAAAAGTAATATTCCTGCAAGCCAAGTATTTTTTCATTTCTCTGCCTGTTGCTCCCCCTTTCCCTTCCCAGTAAGTGATATACCCCTCTTGATTGTGTCGTATACGAAGGTATGCACCATAGGCATTTGTGCATGTGCACTGTGTGGCTCTGATAACAATTAGCCTGAAGGCTACTCGGAGTTCTTGGAGGGAAAAGAAAAACTGTGTTGTTTTTTCTTTTTTTTCATCTTTTCCTTGTCATCCTGAATGGCTTCGAAGACCACGGCTGTGCAATCCGATTGTTCCCTGTAAGCGGGCAGCCCTATGGCTTTCTTGGAGAAGTCTGTGAGGAAGCAGAAGGAAAAGACTCCGCTCTTGGTCACCGGACTTATCCCTTCCTAATGCCCCAAGCAGTTGGCAGCCTTATGAAGTCCTGCAGTAATAAGCCCTATGTTGCTAAGTTGTGCAGTCTGAACTGCAAAACCTCCCACTGACATGCTGGCCAATGCGCATTCATGGAGGGAGAATATGCAACACTGCTCCATTTCCTTCAAAAGTTTCAGCATACTGCAAAGGTAAGGATGAAATCAGGAAACCAAATCCTATTCTGCTTTGTCTTGAGCTGCAATGCCTGCCTCATTTGTTTTCCAGGACTCTCCAAATTGATTGCTTCTATTTCTGTTCCAAAATATTTTATTTTTTATAGGAAGGGTTCTGCCCTGTTTTGGGACACTGAAACATTATATGGGTAGATTTAGCAGAGAAAATCACTTGCACAAAATAAAACTTGATAAGCATAATTTCTGGGGCTCACAAAGTAACAAAATATCTTGTATGTTCCAATATCTCTATGGTTAATACCTTTTTTAAAAAATACATTACTACTTGGAAGACATTCACCCCCTGTATGTCTACATTAAACATTTTGGACATTTTTGGATATTCTCCCGAATATTTAATAGTAAACAGACATACTTCACTGTCTAAAATGCACCAGCTTTCCTAAGTCCCATCAAGTTCCATGAACAAGAAAGTTCCAAGACCATGAAATGGACTTTTTTTTTTCTGGAATATGCTACACTTTTTCACCAAACACCTCCAGTTTGCTTGTAGGAATCATATGCCCCTCTGTTCTCAATAGACACGCTAGTTCTGCTTAATCACAAACAAAATCAGATGGTTTATCACAATGAAGCAGCAAGCTGGCAGCTTTACCATAAAAGGGAAGAACAGACTGAAGCCAAGCTCCAACACTCACTCACTGCTTCTTTACATTTGTTAATAACTGTCCTGACTAAAGGGAACATTTCTGTATGGTCCTGCTAAGGACACAGTAAACAGCTGGGTTTTCATGCAGCTTCCTTTTCTAGGACCTTGGGAACTGTGTTTTCCTCCCAAACCTCCAAGTAGATACAAGGTTGTTTGTTTTTCCATCTTTAACTCAAGCTTGCGTACAAAGTGCTTTCATGAAAATGGCTTTGCAGAAAATAGATAAGCTTCTTGGAGTTGAAGAAAGCCTCCATATGTCTTCTCAGTATTATTCAGAGCGTGTAATAAAAGCATAATCTTCCACATGAAAAAATATTTCTGTTATTACTGCTACACAACCTGACCTTCCTTATTTGTGCTGCTTATCACACATTTGCTGTTCGCCACCTGCAGAGACAACAGCAGAAGGCAGCAGAATTACCCACCCTCACTGGACTACTATCACTGGCATCTGGCAGTGCTGCAGAAGCCATCCATCCATCCACCCACCTCTGGCTCCTCTGCCCTGCACCATGGTGCCCTCTTGTGCGCTGCATCATGCCTTCGTGCAGCCACACTGCACACCAGGCTGCAGTTACCCACCCTAAAATGAAGCTAGCAAAATCAAGGAATGATTATTAGCTGGGCCGTTTCTATGTGAAGACTGCATGAGGACAGTGCTGGGAGTATTGGGATGAGGAGGCTTGAGCCCTTTGCACAGCGACTGTGCAGTGCTATTGCAACTGCAATGAGAAGCCACTGCATCCATAACACAGGTATAGAGGTCAGTAAAGAAATATAAGTGGACTTTTTTATGATCGTCTCCAATTATTTGATTTCTGTTAACAGTGGCTGTGTTGTTACAAGAACAACTTTGATGGGACTTGAACATCATCTCTAATGAATACATTGACCAAGTAAGTCTTGAAAGCAGAGGAGGAGCACATGCTGGACGTTTGTGCCAACAGAGGGTTTGAATGTGAAGGGTTCTGATCCCCAGGTGATGAACTTGCAATAGGACCAGCTATTGGCAGATACCATTGGTTGATTTGTTGAGAGATAGAGGTAGCCCAGGATTTGAACAAGCTGACTGCTTTTGGCCAGGGAGTCCTGATCAGAGAGTACTAGAATGTAATTCTTCAGTCTTATGAACCTAAGATATATTTTAGTTTGGCAAGAAGTTTCTTAGATAAGGAGTAATATTGACATTTCTCAAGGAAAACATTCAGTGCCCTGATACAAGTTCATGAACACGAATCTCTCTTTATACTCCCTTTACAAATGTGCTTACAAAGTCCCATGAAGCACTCTGTCCATATGGATTGCATACACACGCACTCTATTATGTTGCTGCCCACTCTCACCACCTCAGCATGAATACAGTTTGGCTACATAACTAGTTATATTAAGCTTTGGTTTAGTTTTATGCACAAAACATGAGTCTGTTTTTCCAAACAAAAGCTCAGCTTTAAAGGCAACTGGGGCCCTCTTCAGAGATGGAGAGACTCCAAAACTGCATGTGCAAGTAAATAAGCAAGTGAAGCGTGGGTGTCCTGGGCTTGTGATGCAAGTTCTTGTGGGAAGGGTTTGGCTGCTGTGCCAGCTGTGTGTGGTTTGGAGGAGGTAATGGAAGTGTCTCTCTTGAAGTTCAACTTATGGTCTGTTCCCTCCTCCTTTCTTTCCCCTTCCTTCCTATTTGTTCTCCCCTTCCTTTTTTCTATCGGGAAGGTTTCCTCCAGAAAAGACATATGAATCATAAGGTATGAAGATCCATCAAGAATTGGTGGAGTCAGAACATTCCAAGCACCAAAAAAGTGAACAGAAAGAAGGGAAAGCATCCACTTGTACTGCCTTCTCCTCCCAACCTGGGAGGCACAGCTAAATCCTGGCTGTTCTAGAAGTAGTTAATGACTGCAGCGAAGGGTGATCATGCTCAGGTGGCTTCAAAAGACCACCTTAGGAACAACAGGAGAGAGGAAGAGTGAAAGAGGTCCTTATGATGTTGGGATCAGGCAGAGAACTGAAATTAGTTTCAGTTTAAGAAGGAAAATGATATATACTGCAACACTGAAACAATCCTTATTTTTCAGTAGTAGATGCAGTATGACATTCCTTTTTTTCCCCTGTCGCTACCTTGCAGCACTTTCTTAGTTGACTTTTCCTTCATCCCGCTTTTAGGGACAAATAGCAGAGTTCTGTGCTGAACGAGAAGGGTACTGCTGAACTTCTTGCGTAGCTCCCGTGAGGCTCACTGCTGAAAGGCTTTGAGGAAAGAAAGCTGCTTTGACAGCAGGGCCTGCTCAGAACCCTCAGAAGTGCTGTATGCAGAGGACAGAGATCAACACCTGATCTGCAAGGCAGATAGATGGCTGAAGCTTTCAAGGATCTGCTTCTACCAAGTAAGTTTCTTTCAGCTGTGGCTCCATTAAATGAGATTCAATGCATCATGTTATTCTAAAAGCTTAAACCTGTCCTCTCAGCCCTAAACATTTTTTATATACCTGTCCTTGCTGTTACAGTAAGGAGGAATGTCTGATTTCAGTACATCTGTTATTGATGCTTTATTGATCCTCCTTTGTTGCACTGTAATTCTGCCTCCTTCTGCCTGTGGGTGATAAAATTGGTACTGCTCCAGAAGAGCAATGTACCATAAGTGACAGGAAGAAAAAAATGTTGATGTTTTAAGGCAAAGTTTAGAGTTGAATTCATTATATTTCAAGTATTTACGTGTCTGAAAATGTAAGATCCTAAGGTTAGAAGCCAAAGTTACAATTAGCTGATCAACTTACGTAAGTAAATGATCTTCAGGTGCTTTTTGTTATCTGGGTTATTTTGTTAACGCTGCAGTTATACATAAAGTACTCAAGACATCTCTAGGGAGAAAAAACCTGTTTTTATGCTTTTGGTATCTGTCACCACTGCTGCGTGTATCCTTATGTAGTGTTTGTTCCAAAATAATAGAGATTTGGTTGATATTTAAAGACAGCAGAAGTCTGAAAGGTGGTTGGTCAAATTAGACAGCACAGAGGCTTATCACATACTTTGTCTACTCTGAGCCTTGAATTACAACAACATGAACCATCTGCAATGTTCTGAACAGACTGATCTTAAGATCTAGTCAACTTATTTCTTTCAGATTTCAACTACAGGAGTGCTGCAATCATTGTGATCACAATGTGTGTCAGGATCATGGTTAGATAAAGTGCAAAATGGTTTTGAATGGATTAATATCTCCATAGCAATTGCTGTTCTCTGTTTGTATGTAAACGTTGCTAAGAAGTCAATGCTGGGTATTTATCTAGCAGCTAAACTGACATTTCAGATGCCGTTAATCATTTTTTCCCCTGTCAGACCAAAAATCCATAAGCCCTATACCCTTAAATCCTTAAACTTAAAACAAGGCAGCCCTAAGCTTCAGGGCTGAGTTTGGAAATCTTGCTGAACCACAGTTGTAGGGCAAAACTTTTGCAGGAACAGACCTCAAATGGAGATTTACATTTCAAAGTGTTCTGCAGCCTCCTGGTTCCCCAGAGCACCGGAGGCTGCTGTGAGATAGCAGCCAGTCACGTCCCTGCATTCTGTAGATATTGCAGCCTTGCGTGGTCATTGCTGTAGCATTTTTATCTCTAAATGAATGATCTTTCTTTAGGACAAAATCTCCTTAGCCTGTCAGTATTCAAAGCAGAAATTCCCTACTTATTTTTAAGGTCTCATTATATGCTTTGGGGTCTGCTTTCCCACTGCTGTTCCATTAGAAAACAGAGCACATCTCAACTCAAGACTCCAAAGCATTAGCACTGTACTAACAGTAGCCCCAAATTCAATCTGCTTACTAGGAGAGAGCGAGGAGCAATGCTGACAGATACAACAGCCTTAGCAGCTAACTTTGGAATAGTCTCCACTGGTGCAAAGGGAGCGTTTTCCATGCCCGTATTTGCCAAAACTATTTGCTCAACTTTGAAACCTTCCCACATGCCTCGACACAGATGGGTAAAAGGATTGTTTTTCCTTTTTGAGTCAGTGTTTGTGGAGTGCCGTTCCTGCCAAAGAATTCCTCCGAAACTTCTTGAAAGCCCATGTCTCCCTGTGTATCACAGCTTTTCTGACTGTGCTTCTTGAGGGAGCACACATGCAGCAGTACCTTGTTTTCTCTCACGTTAAAGTGCAGTGATTTCTAAGAACTTGCCTACCTTGCAGCATGCTCCTGTAGGCTGTGTCTGCAATGGCGTAGATGTGGGGCGGCATCTCGTGCCTCTTCTTTCCCTTGTACATGTCAATAATCTTCTCTGAGTAGATGGGCAGCTGCTTGTATGGGTTTACCACAACACAGAAGAGACCTGAATAAGTCTGCAATGAAATTCAAGTAAAAAAGGGAATTAGTGTTGTGTACTGTATCTAGACTGGGACACAAGGCATCAACGGCACTGAACCAACAGGATTTTAGCAAAAAACAATTATTTTTCTCAATTTAGTATGACAAATGAAGTGGCAGTTTCTGTATGTATGTGTATGAGTGCAGCTTCCAAGTGCATAAATAATTGTTTCTAATAAGGAAGCTGACAGAAAGTATGTAATTTTTTCTGCTTGTGGAAACGCTCTGCTTTGATGTAATGCTGCACGTTCTTTTTATTTCAGTTGTTTTTGGTATGTAGTGAATCACCTTTATTTGTGATGAGCTAGGGACTACAATGCTTCAGAATGTTCCTTTATACATGTATTTGTGTGCTGGAATGTTATTTGCTCAGGCAGATATCAAATTCTTAAATCTTAGATCGGAAGTGTGGGTTTATGTTGGGCATATAACCACCACACAGCAGTAATGATTGATGTGAGTCTTTGAAAAAAATCACTCCAGTTCCAAACAGATCTCTTATCAGAATGGTATACCTTCAATAAGCAACAATTTCTGTACGAGATTCAAGAAAAAAATCTGTTTTATGTGTTCAGTTTACTGAAGGTATTCGTGTAAAAATGGATGCATAAACAAGCAAGAACAGTGGACACCAGCTGATGGCTATTCATCCAACTGTTAGGTTTAAAAAACATCCTTTGTCTCAGGAAGCTCCAACTTATTGAACTGGAACAGAAATATTAGTGAGTGATAATAGATGAAATGCCGTGTATTACAACAGTTACTAAAAGTGAGCAAAGTAAACAAACACAAAAAATAAGTAAAGAAAAAGAAATGATAGTTGCAGCCCTTAAGTCAGCCTTTGGCTACTGTTTTTTGAAATGACACCAGTCTGAAACAAATGAACTTTTGTCCTTTATGACTTGGACGTAAGTTGTTTGGATTCCCCCAGTTCATGGGTGAGCGCTGCACTGCGCGGTGCTACCTTGCCCTAACCTCAGAACTGTGTCTAAGGACAGCTCAAGCCGCCTCAGTTCCCCCACAGGAACAAGGATAGCACAGGACTGTAAAATGCCATCTCAAAGGCTTGGATCTGGGCACAGGGGTTTCCCTTTCCTGACCATATTAGGAAATAGCACAACACGGTCTCGGCACAGCCTGAGAGCTTTATATGGTACTGAGCAAACAGGGCGAGAGCGTCCATCAGCTCATGGCGGTGAGGAGCAGTTGGGTGCCCCACATTGGGCAGAACGTGTGGGGTGCTCCGAGCATCTCCAACCTTTACAGCATTGTGACTGCACCTTCAGTCGCTTTTGATGTCCCCAAGTTAAAACCTTTGGGGAGGGTAAATCACTGCTACGCTGGCTTTTAATTGATGACAGAGTTTAGGACAAAACTCTGTGCAAACTGTGTTAAAATGAACTTTCGTGCTGTATGGTCAATACACGTGAAAAATGGCTGTGTATCTTACATAAGACAAAATGACCACTAGGCCCTTAAGGGAAGTAAAATAAGATATTTTTTCAGTTGAAGTAGATGTGCTATATATACTCAGGTACTAATATCCAAGTAAGTAAAAGAATAAATGTTCAATTCAGGAAGTTACTTCACTGAGATTTTTAGATATCTTTCTGACTTTCATCATGCAAAGTCTAAATGTCTCTATATAGTTATCTACTTGCACGCCTAAGCGCCAACTTGGAGATACAAGAAGCAGATTTTTAAAGCAGGAAAAAATCATAGAATCATCACAGAATCATAGAATGGCCTGGGTTGAAAAGGCCCACAATGATTATCTAGTTTCAACCCCCCTGCTGTGGGCAGGGTCACCAACCAGCAGACCAGGCTGGCCAGAGCCACTTCCAAAAAAAGCCTGAGCCGATGAAGTTTGGGCATCCCCATTTCTAACTGGATTGCAACTGATACCTCCTCTCACCTGAGGGAGGTAAACCAGGCTTTGTGGCTTCACCACTCACAGCTCTAGATGTTCTACAAAGATCTGGGGAAAACAGATTAATATAAAGTGTTCTGAAGTCAAGGAAGCCAGTTAGCCAAGCATGGAGTTGAAAGTGGGATTTGAAATATCTGTGCCTTGGATTATTCTCCTGAGGTTTGGCCTGCCCAGGGATGGGGACCTGCAGTCGTGTCCATCCTTGGAGAACCTGGGGGCAAGATATGATATCTTAGGGATAGTGTCCAACAGGATTGCTGTCCTTTGCACATCACCACTGATGGTTAAGAGGAACTTATGCAAATACATACATCCGAGTTGTTAGTGCCTACATTTGGGCAGAAGTATCCCAACACTGGCTCCAATATAATGTATAGTTTCCTATAGACAAACAATTTTACACCACTGAGCAAAGGCTGAATGCATAGTGCCTATGAATGCAGGTACAAGAAACTTGTTTATGCTCTCAAATCGAGTTTCTATTTTGTTGATGCTCATACTGTCATTTTTGGTTTCACTTGTGACTGGACAAAGCAGATTCTGCTTGTTCTCAGCAGTGTGAAATGTGAGTTAGTAGCAAAGCACTTTTTGTTCTTTCTTAACTCCATCAAAGAAAAATGTCAGGGTGTTCTTCCAGTGGATGGTTACTTTGAATTACTGCACATTTTTTACTTCCTCTGATTTAATAATATTTATTTTAAATCTAAGGACAGATGATTTGCTGTGAGACTTTTTTGTTTGTTTCATCTAGGTTGAAATGTTTTTCTATAGCATAATTGGGAACCCCCACTTGCATCAGTGGTGCTCTAAAGGGAAGAACAGTAAGGTCAAGTTTTCCTTGTATGTGTGGGATTCCAAGGCAGGCAATGTAGGCAACCAAGGCAAAGAGAGGAGATGGTGGTTTACAGTTTGTTTTGCAAGTAGATGAGAACAAAGCCAAAATATCTGTTTATATCCCTCCCACACATTATTATTTTTTTTTTTTTCCCCAAAAGGTGTGTAGTAGGACAAGGCTGGACAATTTAAAACAGTTTTAGGTTTCCTGAAAATACTATTTGGATTACAATTCAGAATTGTAACTCTTTTTTTTTTTTTTT